CACCATTTTGTCTAGCTGTTTCACTTCTTCAAACAACACCAATGAACTGATCTATTTACACAGATAAGTATTAATCTGTTTTGCATGTTGCAAATTGTACGAAACATCACATATGCATTGCTTTCGGCACACGGACGTAATGATTCGAACGATTTGAAACCGAAACAATGTCTAAATATAACTTCCCTTGTGTAACATTAATGTTTTTCTGTGACAGAACTGTTCAATCCTTGATAGCCCAAATTAATGGTGTCATATAAAAGTGTCATTCATTAAACTGTATTTCTGAAATGTATTTTTAAAACGCTGAAATTATTACATTATTTATTTGTTTGGGAGAATGTATACATAATTTAAATGATTAAGTAAGGGAACTTTATCAAACCTCAATATTAACACATATTCTGAGAATGACATGTCTGTCAAAATAACTGGTCTAAGACTGAAGATATTCGACCTGTGGTGATAAATTAAAAAACTAGTTAAAACGCATAAACAGTACAAGCGGCGTTTTGCAATTCGGCATGTGGATACATATTAACCAATTTAAATTTTGAAGTGCGTTTTTCCACTTCCGATTACATACACTGTGGAGCTTGGTTTATCTTAAATGTTTATCACTCACAAACATGCCATTTATCACTACGAGAACTTGCTGCCACATACCAACTATTAAGGTAGTCTTTCTCCCATATAAATACAATACTACTCATGTTCACTCTCTAAGTAATGTAGCAACTCCTAACTCAAAGCTTCTCCATTATTAACGAATGATTGGTCCAAACGATTCAGGTCGGCAGAGGTCTTCTGTATACAGGTTTTTGTTTAGAAAGGTATGAACAGTCTTTTGTTAGAAATTGCGCAACACTTGTGTATGAACGGCGCGAGCAGTGACTAAAAGGAAATGGCACAACGCAAGTGTGTGAGGTGCGAAAACAGCTTTAAGTTAGATTCTTTTTAAATGTTACAAAAACCAGAAAGTGGACAGCATGCACTGCCTTAACGTTTATGTTATGAAACGTTAATATGAGTACAAGACATTCCTACTGGTTAGAGACGAAAACAGGTATCTGTCACCATCCTGCCTTAGTCGTCTGTTAATACCTTGTCAGCTTAGTGTATGGTTAACCGAGTTCTGTGTGTTTATAAAAGTAAACAGAGAATTGGCTAACTTGACCAAGATTTCATTGAAGTTTACGAAATAATCTATGTGTAAAAATTCTCCTGTTCTGTATTATGTTTCCACTTTTGAATAGTAAATTCAGATTTGTATCCCATTGTATGCATATTCATTGTATCATAAAAGTCACTCTATTGCAGTACAGTAAAGTGAATGAGATTTATAACAGATATAAGTGTTCCATGTCGATACAAGGTTAGTTTTTTTTCATTTAAGTCTTACCTGTGGTAGATTATTTAACAAAAATGAAAATAGGCTTGTCTAAGTGTTCCGAAACATACAAACATTCAATTAAAGAGGAAAACGGCCTCTGAAGCCGTTTATTCCTATACACATTTACAACGTTTAAATACAATAGCCCCAGCACCACCCCACCTCCGTGGAATTAATATTTCAACCACTAGATAATTAATGGGTGGATTGATTCAGTGGCTACGTTAAGAGGTTTGATTACATATTTTAGCAAAGAATTCTTCCTTATCCACCATTGAGCTGTCGGAGGCTTGTTAGTATAACTTGTGTAACCACAAATCTAGTCTTGGTGTACCGAACTATACTTAGATGTAGTACAACGAATGAAAGGGGCTTCAGACACTATATTGTTTAACAAATTTACATTACAACGTTTAGTGACAATAGATGATTTATTATCAATCTAGTGTGTCTTGTAAACCATGCCTGTTACAACTACACAAAAGACAATATTTTATGCTTTTCTCTTAAAATAATAATAAAAACTTTCACTGCGATATTGAAAGTCACTATTTCAGCAGCTATGTGGTGTAACTAACTCGAACTTTCTACTTCATATCTCGTTATTTCGAGTAAAGTAAGTCAAATTTCCGAGTTATTTTCTCGAAATACCGAGTGACTAACACGAAACACCGAAATATATTACTTTTCTACATAACCTGGATTATCTTCCGTACAAATAACAATACAAATAAACAACACGTGTTTATAAGACCACTTCAATAAAAAAAATAAAAAAAAGTGTATCACACGTGTAAATAAGCAAGCATCGACAAACAAGTACAACTCGTTGGAATGCATTAATATAAATACAGAAGAGAATATCAATTAAGAAAATATAATAAATATTATCTTACGTTTTATTTTACGTATGCATCTTGCATAAACTAAAACTGCAGTAATCTGCACTAACAACATATGCACACCCAGGTTATCTCCAAAAGACCGATATCTGAAGTGTTCGTAAACAACGCCTTGTCTGTACAGTCATAAAGACGGTACGCCTCGTTCCGACAGAGGGGTTCACCTTGTTAGCGCCTCGCTCTGGTGGAAACAGTTGCACCGGAAACATGGTTTTATTGAATTTGTGAACCAGTGTATTCTAAATCACTGCAACGGAATGAGTGAGATGAGTGACTGTACATTATATTATTACATTGTCATATGAGGTGATTTACTTCAGAACTACAAATATTTCTGATGAATCGTTAATATGAGAATAATGTACTGCTTTCTCATCTCATTCAGTTTAATAAATAAAAAGTATCCTTCATATTTCCAGAAAACCTTTGGCATTTTAATTTTAAAGACATCCTTTCTTTCAATAGATTATATCTATATAGGTGTAACATCAGCTTACTTTTTGATAACTTTTGCGTTATCATTTAAACCTTTTTTAGCAATAAATAAAAAAGGAATCAAATACTGAGAAAATACATGAAAAATAAATAAGAATCAATTTTATAACCTTCTGTTAAATAGACACACATCAAGTTAATGTAAAATCAGAAAAGGCTTGTTTTATCACTAAAATGAAAATTTACTTAATCATTGATCGCGGCGCTTTCACGGAAAGTTTTTCAGATACCCGAAAATGTGTAGTGTCTTTATAAAAAGTAAGAAGCAAGTCAATATTCCTTACTCCTTCCCAATAACACGACATGATAATTCCGTCTTTGCGTATTGCAGAGTTATCTTCACTTGTGAGCTGGTATTGATTGTTACGTCATTTGTTTGTGAGAGTAACGTCATCATTTTTTGAGAAAACGACGTCATTTTCTCACAAAAACCAATGACTTAACAATCAATACCTGCTCACAAGAGAAGATAACTCTGCAATACGCAAAGACGGAATATGTTGATCTTAAACAGATCTATGTACAATGATTCTTTGGGTAATTTATTCACAAGGAAATATGAAATCTGTGATAATTTTTGACATAAGCTATGAACTTTTAGCACGGGGTTAATTGTAAAGTACTCATACATTTAAGCTGTCTACCGTGTTCATGTTTGGGTGGTCGTTTGCGACTATTTGCTCGTCATATCAGAATAAAAGTCTTAAAATAGAAAATCAGACCGTGTTCTCCCTCATTTACTAGGTCTCTGTTCAATCAAGGAAGGTGATGCTTGAATTTTTAAGCCATGTGTTTCTGTGTGATTCCCTGTTTCCGAGTTCTGAGAAATGCTCAGTTAGCTTCGAAAGTTAAATACGAATTGTTTGATTTATCATTTTACACGTCAAACAAGCATGGAATATATTTCATCTTCAGAAATGTAGAATACATGCATACCAGTTATACTTTATATCGTAAAATATCAAAATCAAAAGTAAAGGTAATGCTGAAAAAATTGCGTAAAACTAACTAGGCATGAACATCCTTCTCCTAAACAGATCAAGGGTTTCGGTGTCATGTTAATTACGTGTTATCGACAAGAGTACCTTCACCAGTAGTTTGATACAAGGTCAGTGTTATGTAATGGAATTAAGCCGGTTACACAGAATTAAAATAATGCAATACATGATCCAGCCAATTTAAATGTTCATCTCATAAAAAATGCTTGTGCATTGAATAGAACAGCCATCGGCCCGGGGATGGTCAGTAGTATCCAACGAAACAATTATGTCGCCATTAATAGCCTTTATGAATGCCAACTGAATTTGGTAGGGTCATATAGTGGCAATGCCATTCGATGGTAAATATAGAGTAAACGTTTTCTTTAAAGTGCCACCACGATTGAATGTCATTTTGACAAACAAACGTTACACTATACCGGTTATATTCTGAGAACATGTCACCAGGACCTGCTGAGGCGAACCGTCGTCAATACTTTCTCCATACTTACTCTTTACCCCATACTTTCTATTTGCATTTTTGTCCCTGCAGAAATTAAGGTCAATAGATAAAGAGGTTTATCAAGTCATATCACTCAAATATCCTTACCTGAATATAGTACAATGATATTTAAGTAGCTTACATAAGTATAACAATAGGCTAATTAGTGATCTTTAGCTTTACATAAAGAGTAGATATGGGGCACAATAAATCTTTCCAACATGGTGACGTTGTATTGTCAGTTATTCTCCGTCAGCATTCGACAGTTTTACAGAAAACTTGAATATCGAATCACCTATGCCATGTAAACACATTTGGTGGGGATGCAGGGTGTTATTATCGAGAAAGGTTGTGTCTTTCAACATACTGTAAGTAATCGCTTTGGTCACTGAGTGCTCGTTTTAGTTGTTAGTTCGTTACACCGACGGACCAACTTCGTTTACCTAACGATGATCAAAAAGCTGTACCGACGACAACGGTGGTTAATTTAGTGTGTGTCAGTTCGTTTGTAAAAACAACAAGGGGTTCTGTCGATAAATCAGAGAATATAATTATTGCCATTTAAAAGGTACTGCAATTATTCGATAATAAATACTTGTCAACATAACAGCGCAAACTTGCATGCTTTGATAAGAGGTCCTTTATAATTTTATATTTTGTATTTTCCATATTAAATATAATTCTGGTATCCTTTTTAAGCATTGAAAAGTGTATTATTTTTATCATTCCAGATTCGAAGTCACGATGATTCGACAAATCGAAAGCGGGTTTATTTCAAAGGAAAATTGTATGAAGCTTTTCTCAAATCTAACTATTCCAACGGAAGTCGGACGGTATTGTAACGCAACGCATGACGGGAGTACGTGCTGGCCGCCAACCCTGGCGGGGTCACAGGTTAAACAACCATGTCCAGACCTTCCTGATCTACAATTGAACCCATTACAGTTTGTATACAGACGATGTGGTACGGACGGTGAATGGTCCGATATCCCGGATAGACATATCGTTTTTCAAAAGACTCTTTATGAGGAATGCTTCATCAAGGGTCCGTCAATAGCATCGCTCAACCAAAACGCGAAAATATCGAACATTCTTGCGATAGTATTGCTGGGCATCGCTCTTGTAACAATTTTTGTCGCACTATTGATATATTATGTCGTTTTACCAAAATTTGTAAATGGAATTTTGCACGTTAGGGTCCAAAAACATTTGTTTGTGTCAGTCATTTTTGACGCTGCAACAAAATTGATCATTCAGATCCTACTGTTATTTCAATTGCATAAAATTGCCACAGTCGAGATTACTTTTGCTTACGAACTCCTCGCCACCATGAAACAATATTCAGAGCTAGCAATTATATTGTGGCTAACCAACGATTCGCACTTTCTACAAGTGATATCGAGATCAGGACAAATTTGCACTTCCGGATACATGACCTACATTGTGATAGGTTGGGGATTACCAATAGTTCCAACATCCGTCTGGGCCGTTTCCATGGCAGTGAGTCATAAGGTGAAAGACTGGACTGGTCACACGGAATCTCCGCTAATTTGGATCATGCAGATCCCAAAATTATTGGCACTGCTGGCGGCATTTTCCCTACTTTGTGTTACTGCTTACCGCGTGTTCGCCAGAACTAAGTGCACAAAACACAAGAAAAACCTAGACGTACGGAAGATCAAATACGACGTTCTGATGTCTGGTCTATTTTATCTCGTTATACTCGTGTCCGTGTTGTTCAACATGATCATCACGCATGCGCGTATCAAGTGCATTTCATGCTCATACATTTCCACAATCTTGACTTCGTCACAAGGAACCGTCTTGTCGATATTGTACTGTTTCCTCAATAATAACGTACATGCTTACATCAAGTATAGTCAGACAGTGCTGCCCGCCTCAGCTTAGTAGTACCGGGCTAGTTCTCTGATTGATATACAATGACATAATTATTGTATGCATAATAGTTTGGTTATAATTGTCATGGTTCAGTGACAGAATTCATCAAATAAATTCAAGTACATGAATAGGAAGAAACCGCTCCATAACTGTCATCTGTTAAGGGAATCTGCTTTGTACAAACTAATGTGTAGCTATCCATAATAAAAAAAAAGTATCAATAACAACTTTCTGTCTAAACACATCACCTGTTTATATAACATTCACCTGACTAGCATTACCACCTGTCTACAGAGACCACCTGACTATAAAGCCCACTTACATCTAGCTATCACCTGTCTACATAGACCACCTGACTATCAAGCCCACTTACATCTAGCTATCACCTGTCTATAGAGACCACCTGACTATAAAGCCCACTTACATCTAGCTATCACCTGTCTACAGAGACCACCTGCCTATAAAGCCCACTTACATCTAGCTATAGGTTATTTTCCTAAATGTGTTTTATCATAGAAGGCACATTGTAGGTCGGTAGTCTGGATGTTGAAGGGTACTGTGGGGTTAGCTAGCAATGCTTATTCTGCAGTTTGGCCACTCAAATTCTTCTAAATGTGCTACATATAATCTTACACTGAATCGTTAGATTATGATACTACATTTAGACCTTGGCAGTAATTATGAGTTTCATCCGTATCAGTTTCCATATGGTATTCAGTAATGTGTAATTTCAGCCTCTTTCCTAATATTCTCGGATGGTTGATTAAGATTTTTAATTTACAGTCGATATTGTTTTAACTGTTGATCAACAGGATTTCGTAACGTTTCTCCTCCATCACTCCAATTGGTAATCGTTCCATACAAATAACCAAATGTAAAAAAACCATGAAAAATCAGAAACAAATTTCTTCGAAAATCGCATCTATCTAAATTTTAAAACGTAAATTTGATTGCGTTTAAATGACTCAACCCTGGTTAAACAAAATAACAATGGCGTATTGTCTTATACTATAACTCAGCAGGCAAGTGATTGAATCATAATAGTAAGTTTAAAAACATTGGCTAGAACACCAAATGTATTTAGTGAAATTTGATATATCCTTACAATGTCTTTTTAACGATAAATATGTTGATATTTTGGGCGACTAATGAAAAAATGGAAATTATCTTTTTGATATTAGATGCAAAAACTTAGATGAAAGATCGCTTTGCAAAATTCATATTTCTGAAAAATCTATTAAATCGCTCTTATTATGCAATGTCTGCCGTACCGTGCTTATGAGTAATTGTGTTTTTTTCATGACGTTTAATTCTGTAGAGAAATATAGGACAGAGACGTCTTATATTTTTATCACCGTTCCGTTGTTCGCTGAGGACACATGAAAAGACTGTCGATATTGACCCGAAAGAAACACTGTCATTTTATTAGACATTGGAACTGCATGTGAGCAAAAAACAATCAATACACTATTTCCATTTACTTCCTGTTGATTTCGTCATTGAAATCGTTAATGATCTGTCACTTCCGGTACGCGGAAGTAGGAACTCAGTGTAATGAATATTGCCGACAAATATAGGACACTTGGAATGGATAGTGTTTTGTTACGCAAAGGCTTTGAACCAGCTCGGCGGACACAGTTCGTTTCTCAATACAAGACATTTCTGGAGAGGATCAAATTTAACTGTAAAAGTGAAAGGAGAATAGCCATTTATTAACTGTATGACAGCAACGGTTGCTACGTAGTTAGTTCCAGGACACTGATAAAACATTTATGGCTGAAAACACAAACATAATTCAAACGATTGTTAATTGATTTCTGTACTTTTATCTTATTTTTCTTAAATATTATTATATTTATTTATTTCTTCTCATGTTTAAACATATTGAGCAGTTTCTCCCTTCATGATTTTGAAACGATGAGGTTTATGTACCGTGTAATGTAAAACACGCTTTCATTTGGTTATTTTTACTCAAATAATCTTGCAATCTGAATATAACAGAACTGCTCATCAGTTTGTACTGGTTTTGACAGTTTTTGTAAACATTCTCATTAAATATGGTATTGTATTTCGTTGAATATATATATGAACTGAAATATATTGGTATATAAAAATGTGAAAGCTTTGTAATTTCTGCTATTTGTATTTACATTATTAAAGATTTGAAAAAAAAGAGTTTATGAACGTCAACTTCCATGATACGAAAGCAAGTCTTTAACATCTTCTATCACATATCCTTCAGGCATTCATGAATAAATGTATATAATAAATTGTAAAATAAATAAATCATATATAAATTGTATAAAATAAAATGTATATAGATTTTTGAAAGTTGGCATCACTCTTAACAGCGGGACCAGACCAATAATATTTAATGTTTTGTGTTTTCAGTCATACCATTTTGTTTTGTTGATGAAAAATCTGTATAAAAATAGTTTTGTCTATCATCTCATACATGTACGTTGTTGTCTAGGTGTCATATATTGTTCGAATGTCTGTTAAAATAACGTATGACGCGCATACAATTATATTATACTCGTAATAAATAAAGAGGCATGCCACTACACATAGGTTTGTATTGTGAAATAGACTGTTATGATGGTTGTACAATGTAATGGCAGTAAATAAAACATGCAGCAATTGAAACCGCAAGAGTTGAGTCATTTTGTTGACAAGGAAATGCCCTAGCTCAATGTCAATAAAGATGTATTCCACCGATAACACACAGGGAAAACTCCTCCAACATCAACACTACACATCTACACAACAATGTCGGTATTTGGTTAAAAGTGTGCATGATAGCTAGAAGAAAACAAGAGAGAAATGCAGTGATAACAATATGAAATTCGAACTCAAAATAAATTTTCAACAAGAGCTGATTATACACTACGATTAAATGTTTGACATAACGATACATACATTATAACAGATGAATAGCATGTAAATAAATGTAAGTTCAATTAAGCTATAGGCTAATTGTTTAAAGTGATGCAAAATGATGAAACTTTTGCAAAGCATTATTAAAGGCAAATTGTACACATATATCACTAACAAACCACATGGGCAGAACCAGGTGTTCCGGAAGGGAAACATTTTCTTCCTTTTTCTATGAATTCAAATGTTAATTAGGTCAAACATATGTAATGCCACCCTTTCAAAGAGAGAACTGGGTTGAAAAATACAAGGCATATTAATGTCCTGAATCAAACATGCCGAGATTAATATTTATAATGGCAAGGCGGCCATAAACCTGCCCACTGTCTTCATCAATCTGCATCTCTCGAAATAAAGTGTTGTAATAATACTTTAACATTCTGTTTCTATCAAGGAAATCGTGATATTCGAAGAAAGTTCGTAAATATTGAATCGACTGCGACACGTAAACAACTTCAGTGATAGAAGCAGTAATGTCCCTATCAAGAAAGGGAAAGCTAATGTTCAAGACCGAACAAAACTGAAATCGTTTCTAGCTAATGGGATATATATATTCAAAATGGTTGACAAATGTCCTTTATTTGAAAACAACATATTTGTTACCTGTCCCGATGCTTTTTTCATTCATCCCATACACGTTTAAAACAAAATCAAGTCGGCAAAGACGGGCACAGTTTGTTAACAGTCTGTTATAAATTGCCACCAAACTCTACAAAGATATTGTCAAGTAGATTTTTTTCATATTCACAATTTATTCTCAGTGTGTTTAATGTTCACGTTCATCGTACAATCAAGTGGATCATAAGCACAATTTTTATAACGTATTAGCTTAAATGATCCAAGACAGCACACAGAAAATAAAAAACTAAACAAAAACCAAAGACAATTTGTGCAATGATTCATTCCATTGAAAGGGGAAGGTTTGGATAAATATTGATATGTGATGCAATTGTCTTCCTGTCTGACAGAGTAATTAAGAATACCTTAGATATAAATCTCCATTAAACAGCAAGCTGTGATCCATCGTCTGACCGGGAAGTGAAATACACGACAGATTGCTAACTATCCTCTGTAGAAAATACGGTCAATTGCTACTAAACTGTCTCGTCGAAGTCGATATTGTGTAGGACATGTTAATCTGCTGCTAATAAACTGGAGTTCTCCCGAGATTTGTGACTTGAAACAAGCGAGATTTTCATTAGCTAGAGTCACTTTTAATTGATAAATTGATAATACATTCATATGTTATTAGATGCCACCCAACGCAAAACAGTTTAAACTATGTTGTCTTTCAATACAACAACAAATCGTGAGGCGGGTTTTTCCCCAACAACAGATACAACAACAACAACAACAACAACAAGAACAACAACAAAGTATTCGTTTGTGTATTTCGCGTGTAGTTTCTTCAAAGCACGCTTCGTTGTTATTAACATAAGAACACAAGCAATGACAAAGCGAACGTTTGGATTATCTGATATTAATAATGATCGATATCAGTTCCAAAGTTTTAGTGCCAGAATAGCGAGATTCAGAATTAACAGAACCCACATTCATAAAAATTGAATATGAACTTAACCCAACGATGATTTCATTATCATTTGAATTAAAATGCTAAAGTGATTTGCTCTCTATGTTTAATGGCTAATGTCTGCTTTACACTTACACAATCTACGATGAGGCCGTTAAATATCAACTGTATCCATTCACAATTCAGAGTTACGTAGCCGGGGTTTAGAAAGATCAAAACATCTGGAAGGGAATAAAACATGGTAAGCGGGATACATGACACGTTTTACGAGGTTGGTTACCCAAGTAGTTCAGTTTTAACAGTGGGCTGACACCACAGAAGCCTAATCACACGTGTAATAATTCAACAGAAAACCACACCACACACATTGTTACATATCAGCTTCCGCCACTCAAACAATTCCACGGTCGACCGCAAACCCACGGCTACCAGAGTTAAAATTTCAGATTTGGCATGCGGTGAGAAAATTCGGTCTGGATTGGATTAAAATTATACATTGAAAAAATAAGAAACTCGCAGAATAAGGTCATGAAAAAAACTAGTCCGGAAATGGACCTGTCATTATAATTGATACTCTGGGATAACTTGTTTTAGTACATATTTATTAGTAGTGGAGATATGCGAGGTATTGCAGATGATTTTTATATCAAAATATTTCATTCGTGCATACGAAATGTAGTAGTCCGTTAACTTTACAAAGATATATAAATCTTTGGCAGAGGTCAAAAGTACGTATGTTTTCTCAAATATAGCATAATTATTTATAAAGGAACAGGTGGTATGAACAATACAACTGATATCGGATATTTACTATCCCAGTCCTAGCGGCTAGAAAACAACCATAAGATTCTCAACACATGGCCTTGGATAGATATACCGTACCACGATAACCTAGGAGGGATCGCCACACATACACAGATATTCTTCTGTATCACAACGGAAATTGTATACCTTTAACACTATAACACACCTGATAAATCTATATTCATATTCACATGTAGAATCTTATTTTTCTTCAAATGCTCTCTACAGGATTAAGTTTTAAAAAGCGTTCATAACATCATGCTGAGTGGTGTCACGTGATTTGGTTATATTTGCATTCCCTCATAAACCGATGAAAACACTTCCAATGGAAATTTCATGATTGCATACATATGGCAATGAACGCGATTATACCATTGTAGAAAGTAATCATTTACTTTCCTCCTGTTATCGATGTAGCAAAAGACGCTTACCTTTCTGAAACACCTGGTCTTATTCTCCTTGTACTTTTCGAGCGGTCTCCATGTAAATGTTTCCTTTGTTCATATTTTACCTTACTTTTATCGATTTTGAGTTCGACGTTTCGTTTTGTCATTTGGGTATTCTTTTGTTGATTTGTACACTAAGACGCTTCATCAGTCCATTGTGTTAATGTTTTGGCCTATTCACTCCCTCCAAGCATCAAATAAGCCAAAATATTACCATAACCAAAATATCCCAAGGTTTGTTACACTATGTGGTTGTCCTGACATGACTATTATTATTTCAAAGTCTATTATATTGTTTATCGTGTAAAGCCAACTAAATCGTGAAACACGTATGTTTCATTGTGTGAGAATATATAACATTTACTGACATCTCGTTGTCAAAATATCAGTAAACCGGAAGCGAATAGTCCTTAAAATTGGACGACGTACCCCCTCGAAGGATTTTGTTCGGTTGATTTAAAAAATAGCGATTGATTTAAAACTTATTATAGCTTAAAATTATATGTTGGATCCCATTTCCTTCCCAATTTGTTTCTGTGCACATCAAAACACGCTGACCCATATTTAAATTTATTGAACAAGCCCAATTATTCCTTCATCTTGGAATAGCAAACCTGTCAACGCCATTTGCTTATTGGTAAACAAAAACCCACTTATATATGTAGGAATTTAGATGGAGCAATATTGATAATCTCCCGAAAGTGAACGTTCCAAACGAGACATTTGGCGACTATGGTGGTAGAAGGTTTGCTTCGATGAACTGTAAGTGCGTACTACGTCATTTTCGACGATAACGAAATTGAAGACTCTTGGATTTTAATCTGAATAGTATGGCCTCCCATGAGTTTATCTCGGAATAGTATGGCCGCCCATGAGTTTATCACGGAATATTATGGCCGCCCATGAGTTTATCACGAGATATTATGGCCGCCCATGAGTTTATCTCGGAATAGTATGACCGCCAATGAGTTTATCACGGAATATTATGGCCTCCCATGAGTTTATCTCGGAATAGTATGGCCGCCGTTGAGTTTATCTCGGAATATTATGGCCGCCCATGAGTTTATCACGGGATATGATGGCCGCCTGTGATGTTCCTTTTGTCCCTTTAAATATGCTTTCACTAAAATTGATATTTATCTATAAAGGTTTTAACATTTGTTGATATTATATATAAATCGTCAAGGTTATGGCATCTCTTTAGAGAGTTAAAATAGTGTCTGCACTTGTACCAATTAGTGTTACCAGATCACACTCGCGAGTAGGGTTACAATAGTAGGGCGTGCTGCTGGTCGTAACAACAAGTCGAACAAGGATGAGAGAACTCTAGTGAAGTACATGTAAACAGAACGCGATCTTGTGCTCGTCGTTTCCCATGGAGTGTAATGGACCGTGGCTAACTGCAGCGTAATCTT